CTACTGTTTTTCTATTGGCAAGGGAAAAAGCTCTGATTTTAAGTTGTGCTTTGACAGACTAAGATTGAATGACAGCATTTAAGAGCTCAAAATTGCCTGCACACAGCTTTTCTTCCTGCAGTACTATTTGTCTCTAAAGAGCTTAAATCTTTGAAATGCAAATATACATTGGAGTACTTTATGAATTTATGAGTATGGAAAAATGGATGCATCTCAGTTGCAGTAGGAAAAAGCAGGTATTTCACCAAATAGCATATTTTAAAGTTAATAAATCGTTTTTCTGACCTACTTCCACTCCTAATCCCACTTTATACAAGTAACTGACACTGCACATAAACTTATGATGGGAAAAACCAATACAAAGTTTGTGTTCTGAGATCAGAAGATTTCAAGAGAGGGGTTAAAACCATTCCTCACATGCTGCTTTAGATGCAACACTGATATCTTTCCTTTCTTCTTGCATGACACAAGCTTTTCAGCTGGCTGTACGTGCTGTTTAACTCTCATCTCCATTAATCCTATGTAAAGCCCACACACGCAGTTTCAGCTCTCTTACTCTGGCTTTTCTCTAGCCTCCCAGGTATCATCAAATTCAGATCCTTCTGGGACCTCCTCTGTATTCCAAATCGTTTTCTTGTTTTCAGATTTCACTTGAAAAGCACCTGTAAGTGAGGAGAAAAATCACACTGACACATGTTGAAATGTTTTTGTTCCTTAAGGCTTGCTAAAAGCTTAGAATATTTTTCAAGAATGAAAAAAAAAAGGAAAAAAAAAAAAAAGAAAAGCCATTTCTAAAGCCTAGAAAAGGATTTCTAGGCTTTAGAAAAATCTTTGCATTAAAAGCATTCTAGGTAATGATTACAGTCTTCTTCATCTCGCTATCTTATGAATGAGGATTTGCAGAGGGAGGATGTTTTTCTTTCACTTAAATCTCCTTTACCCAACCTCTATTTCCTGGAAATCCTCCTTTCTGGCATATAATATCTAGTACTTCAAATAGGTAAAGCGTTGAAGGATGAAATACTAATCTTCCACAAGCCCCCTGACATGAGATTTTCAGTGAGCAGAGTCATTCAGAAGAGGACCACCTCCTCACAAAGAAATTCAGTTCTTCCCATTAATTACTGGGCACAGTCCAGACAAGGTGCTTAAGATCCATGAAAGTTTATGGGCAGAATAGTATGATTTACATCTGTCCTGCATGGAAAAATATTATTTTAGTAAAGTGGTAATTGTGAAACTTGATGTTTTGTAGAGTCGAATCTCTGGTTATTGTTGGAATCCCAAGCAAAAATAATCTGTTGTATTTGTCACAGTTCCTTTCCTGCAAAATTCACCCTGGCCCTTGTTGGCCTTTCTTAGGGCTCTTAACTAAACTGCTCAAAAAAACTTAAAGTTACCTTTGTCAAGTCTTTACCAAAACTGTCTTCCTGTCTTCCCTGAGTACTTATATGGAGCTTTTGCTGCTCAGTTATGATCCCTGCAGCCCCTGACCAGGCTGTGCTCTGAACTGTTATCATCTCCACTGGAGGCTGCCCTGGCATTACCCTTTCTGCTTCTCTTTGCATGTTTTAGAGTTAAGCTTTCAGGAGAGGAATAATTTTACAGTGTAATTGTAAGAAATGTCATGCTATGTCCATCTCAAACGTCAGTGACCACTCTTTTATTGCAGTGGTGTCTTCCTACAGCTGTTACAGTCTGCTGACATGAGACTGAATGCCAAAACACACAAATACTCCTCCTTACTGGTGGTCTCTTTCTTTACTGGTCCAACACTCCCAGGAGTCATGGCACCAACAGAACAGCTTAGCTGCAAAGAAAGGCAAGAGGATCTCAAATCAATTTTTATAGAGCCAAGCTCGGTTACGACCATAAATGTCAGTAAATACAACACATTATCTAAGGTCAAGCAAATCCCTGATAGAATTGAGAAAACATTATCCCACAGTTTCCTGACTGAAGCACTGAACATTCTCTTTTCTTCATTCTCACACAGCAGAAAGTGACCTTGCACACTGGGTTTAAGCAGAAAGCCCAGAATACAGACAGATGTGCTTCATGAGTTTTGGTTTCCATGGCATTTTGGCAAAATTTCCATGCTTTGCCTGCCATGAAAATATTACAGGAAACTAAGGGTGCCACATGAAAGCCCCATCACAGCATTTGGATTCCTTTTTACAGCAGAGATCATGAGGCAACAACATTTTCCTCTAATTATGAATCAATTTAGTGCTAATGGGCCAATGTGAGGCATTTCTCTATGTATGAAGATTCCTTGGTTCAATAAAAGTGCCTCATATGCACAGAGCATTAAATTAAATCAAAATAAAAGTTTCAATTTACCCAGATTGACTCAGACTTAATTGACATCCCTCGTGGCAATTTTCCATTTCTGTCTCTGAAGTGTCATTTATTTTATTAATAAGATGTAAACAAATTATTTTTAAAATCAGGATGTTTACTGCAGAGATGTACAGCAATAATGCAGAGTTTAAAAGGCAGGCATTAAACAGCTGGAGGATAGTTAGGAGTTAGATAGATAGGATTGTGAAGGACCACATCTGTAACCCACTGAAAGAGAACTTCAAGGGATATGCACCTCTTTTATCCCAAATATTACTTGCATTGCCACTACTGGGGCTGGTCAGCTCTTTGTTGAGGAGTGATTTGGAGGAACACTCAGGCATTTGCCTTTTTTGTTATCTGTTTTTTTGTGTGTGTTGTTTTTTTCTTTTTTTTTTTTTTTTTTTTGTTTTTTTTTTTTTTTTTTGTTTTTTTTTTTTTTATCCATGTCATAATATGATCTNTTTTTTTTTCCTTATCCATGTCATAATATGATCTGTTCAAAGTCCTGAGAGACTTGGCAAAGTTCTGAGCCTTCACAGAGGCCTTCTATATTGTTGGCACCTGTGGGGCTCCTGGGACTATTTCTTCCCAGAACACAGGCAGGCCTAGATAAAAGCAGGTGTTGCATGTTGCAGAAAAAACACATGTTCTCCATACTCTGTGATTTTCATCTGCTCCTGAGAGAAACTGATATAGAAGAATACATTTGGATATTTCTCTTGTTATTCATTCAGATTATGCACCTTAGAATGATTGTTCACCTTTCTCTATTTTTTGAACACCAAAATACTTCAGTGATCAATTATCTCTACAGTTTTTCAATGCCTGACATGTACAATTAACACACTCAGTTGTCTCTGGATGTTTTGGTCCTTACTCCAAAGTTAAGCAGCAAATTTTTCCCCTCATATCTGGTTGTAACTGCCTTCATCTCCAGCAGAGCTCAGGGAAAAGCAGGGGGAGGTCTGAAGCATCTAAAGCTCTTTCAACTCCCTATTCTTATTTCCTTCAGGCTGAAAAACTAAACCTCCCTCATATATTGTGCTCACAGTGTCTCCTTGTTTTCCTGGAGCATCTTGCTCATTCTCTCCCTCAAGAGCTTGTTACTCTGAAAGTATTCTCGAACCATTTCAGACAGTCCAAAACCTTCTAAGGTTTTCATTCTGTTTTTTACTCACTCTGGAGAAAAAGAGATTTGCTTCTCCTTGATTAACAAGATAAGGCTATGGTACAATCTGTAAAAGAAGCTGAAACTCTCAAGAAAGGCTCACCACATCATCATAATCATCATCATCCTCTTCTGGAGCATCACGCAGCAGTTTGGCAAGGCTCTGCAGAGAAGAGCCTGAGAACACGCTGTCCATGTCCATACCCACTCCTCACCTATGCATAAAAAACAAGTGACAGATGAAGCAGGAACCAAATGTGCTTGGAACAGTCTGCAAAGCACAATTTTCCTGCTGTGTGTTTGGGAAGGAAAAGTTTAGCCAAGTTCCTGTATGTGTGATGACAAAATATGTAAAATGAAACATAAAATCAAAGAATATGCTGAGTTGGACGGGACCCATCAGGATCGGAAAGCGCAGCTCCTGGCCGTGTGCAGGACAGCTCGAGTCTCACCATGTGCCTGGGAACGTTGTCCAAATGTTCTTTACACTCTGTCAGGCTGTGACCACTTCCCTGGAGATCCTGTTCCAGTGCCCGACCACCCTCTCGGGGAAGAGCCATTGCAGATATCCAACCTAAACGTCCCCCGAGAGAGCTCGGGCTGCTCCCTCGGGTCCTGCCATCCCGAGGGAATAACATCCAATCTTTTCCCTCTGTGCCCAGACTGCGGACCTTCTGCTCGGCTGCCTTTTGTTGCAAGGACAGCTCGAGCCTTACAAGCGCCTCGGGCAGAGCCGTGTCACGGTAACCTGGCAGAACTCTTCCAAGGTTCCCTGCCCACCCGCCAGCCTTCAGACCGGGCCAGCTCCAGACGCAGGTGAGGGCGAAGGGAACCGCAGTGACAAATCCTCGTCACCGCGTCCCCGCTGTCGGGCTGCTCCAACGCCGCAACCCGGCCCGGTATACCTTATCCCGCACCCCCGGCCCGGTGTCCCCTGTCCCGCACCCCCGGACCGGTGTCCCCTGTCCCGCAGCCCCGGACCGGTGCCTCTTGTCCCGCAAGCCGGCCCGGTGTTCCGGTCTCGCACCGCTGTCCCGCACCTCGGCCCGTATCCCCTGTCCCGCTCCCCAGGACCGGTGTCCACGGTTCCGCATTCCTGTCCCGCACCCCTAGGCGGTGTCTCCTGTCCCGCAACCCGGCCCGGTGTCGGCCGTCCCGTACCCTGGTCCCACACTCCTGTCCCAAACCCGGGCCCGGTGTCCCCTATCCCGAACCCCTGTCCCGAATCCCGGCCCGGTGCCCCCGGTCCCGCACCCCGGCCCCGCAGCCGCGTCCTCCGTCCCCACAGCAACGCGAACACGCCCCGCCCCTCACGCCCCAGAGCCAATCGAAGCCGCGGAGCCGCGAGTGGCGGCCACGCTGACCAATGGGTGCCGAGGGCGGGAAGGCGCGCGGCGAGGCGGGGCGCGGTGACGCCATCGCGCCGCGCGCGGTCGCCGAGCCGCCGCCGCGCCTGCCGGAGCTCGGCCCGCGCCGCCGCCGCGCCATGAACCAGTTCAGCTTCGGGGCGGCCGCGCCCGGCGGCGCCTTCAACCTGGGCGCGCCCCGAGCCGCCGCCGCCACCACCGCGGCCACCAGCAGCTTCTCCTTCTCCGCGCCCGCGCCCGCCGCCGCCGCCGCCTCCAGCGGCTTCAGCTTCGGCAGCGCGGCGCCGGCGGCGGGCGGCAGCCAGCCCGCCGGGCTCTTCTCCTTCAGCAAGCCGGGCACGGCCGCACAGCCCTCCGGCTTCAGCTTCGGCTCGGCCAGCGCGGCCCCCGCGGCCCCGGCGGCCGCCGCCTTCCCGCTGGGGTGAGACCCGGGGCCGGCCGGGGGCGCGGGCAGCGGGAGAGAGCGAGGAGGGAGCGGGGGAGGCTCCTCTGGGTGCTGGGCGAGGGCTCGGGGGGATTCTGCAGCGAGCGAGCCTCCCTCTTGTCCTGGGGCTTCCCAGCGCCCTGCAGTGATCGCCTCGTTGGGCAAGTGCTCAGCGAGCCCTGGCACCTGTCCCGGCTGATGTTTTCATGGGGGAGCTCTTACACGTGCTGGGAAGGAGATGTTCCACGTTTCCGTCTCGAAATGGGGTGGAGACGCGTGTACAAGGAAATCCTAAAGCTCTGCTACCAGATATAAAACGTCTTGTTTTCTCTGACCCGAATCTGGAGTGCTATGAATGTTTTCTCGGCACTTTGAGAGTGATTTGTCGTTATGGAAAGGCTGCGAGTTCTGGAGTGGTTCTGCAGAACTGCTGCTGTCAAAATTTGCCAGATGGGAGCTGTGGGAAGGGAGCTCAAATGGGGACGAGCAGAAAAAAACCCAGCCTTGTGTAGAGGGAGTGAAAATGGTGAGCTGAGAGAAGGAGCAGCTTGATATATACTGCCATAAAATGTCCTGTGGTGGCCGAGTGGGTGGAGGTAATGAAGGGGGAGTCTGTAGAAAGAGCCCTAATGGGGGATGGCAGGTGACAGCAGCTGGATAGAGTCTGTCGTCAGAATTGGGACACGAGCCTGGCCAGGTGTGCATCTCTTTGAAAGGAGATTTCTGCTGTCAGCAGAAGGAAGGAGTGGTCATTGAGAAAGCCAACAGTGTACTTGAGCGGATGTGTGTCTCAAGCAGGTTGGCTTCTTTTCTTCTCTAGGGCAAACACCCCAAAAGTGAGCTTTGGAGCCAGCACTGCCACTTCAACTCCTGGAATCACGGGAGGCTTTTCTTTTGGTGCCCCTGCCGCAACCAGCACACCCTCGAGTCAGGCAGCAGCCCCGTCTGGCTTTACCTTTGGCTCTGCTGGCACCAGCACCACCAGCACGGCTCCGTCTGGGACGACAGGAGGCTTCACCTTCTCCAGTGGCACCACGACTCAGGCGGGAACAGCCGGCTTCGGCATCGGCACCGCGGCTCCGCAGGCGACGTCCGCAGGGCTGACCTTTGGCACGGCCCCTGCGGCTGCTGCCACCACCAGCACGGCCACCCTGGGAGCTGCCACCCCGGCAGCAGCGCCCTTCAGCCTTGGGGGACAGCCCACAGGTGGGGGCACAGGCTTGGGGGGGCAGCTGGAGGCTGGGAGCCTTTGGCATGGGAATATCAGAGGGTGGAGTGCAGCTCTGCAGCCTCTGGCCTCTGCTGGGGCAGAATGGAGCCAGGGGCTGGAGCCAGGGGTGTTTCTGATATTTCTGTCCAGGGTGTGCAGTGGTGAGGAGCAATTGCTCTTTAGCCTGTAGGAAGAAAGTCCATCTTTTCCTTTTGTTCCTGGTTCCAGGTCTAACCTTTGCGGCACTGCCTTCAACAGCAGCCACCAGTACAACCACGGCCACGCTGACCACGAGTACCAGCCAGGCACCCACCCTGTCCTTTGGAACCAAGCTTGGAGGTAGGAAGCTGTTCTAGAAAACAGTTCATCAAGGCTTTGTGAAATCTGCTGTCCTCCTGGCAATATTTGTGTATTGGAGGTAGACAAATATTTTATACTGGGGTGTGGGAATGGGCCAGAAGCGTTTGTTCCTGTCAGTTTGCTCTGGCAGTGGTGATCTATGACAGCTCCTAGAGCCACTGGACAGCGTGTCCTGTGTTTCTGATTGTGTCTCACATGATAGATTCTGTTCTGTGCTTGTTTGGGGAGCACAGTGGAAGGGAGGCACAATCTTAAAGGGCACATTGTGAAAGAGAGGGAGTGGAGGGAGAATAAGAGGAGAAGGAGGTTAAAAGGCTGACATCCCAAGACCCAGGTGTGGCTGGGCAGTTTGTGTCACCCTCCCACCAGGGTTGTTGTGCAGTGGGTGGGAGCTCAGCGTGCTCTGCTTGTACACATGGAGCTGTTTGTCTCTGCAGTCGCATCCACAGCTGCCACCACAGCCTCCACCACCAGCACCACCTCAGTGCTGGGCTCCACGGGGCCCTCTTTGTTTGCGTCTGTGGCCACTTCTTCAGCCTCCACCTCCACCACCACCACCACCACGGGCCTCTCACGTGAGTCTCTCAGGTCTCAAACCTCTCAGGCAGGTTTGCCCTTGGGGCAGTAAAGGAGCAGCCTGGCTGCTGCTGCTCCCTGTGGGTGCTGGAGCTGCTGCTCCTGCAGTGGGTGCAGGCTGGGCTCGGCTTCTCCAAGGGGCCCTGCATGTCATGGCTTAGGCAACCGGATAATGGTGTCTTCTCTTTACAGTTGGTGCCACTTCCACTGGTTCCACCGGGACAGCCCCTCTGGGGACACTTGGCTTTGGATTGAAAGTTCCTGGAACAACAGCTGCCACAACAAGCACAGCCACTGGTAGGAGTGAGATGCTGCAAGTCACTGAAGAGAAGGGAGCCTGAATTCAGTGCTCTGTAGAAGTGTAAAGGGCCATGTGAGAGTAGAGGCACAGCAGCTACGATTTGGAAAGCGCTGGAGTAACTGAAAACAGCAGAGTTTGTCTTTCTGTGATCCTTGTCCATCTCTTTGTGAAAACATGGAAGTTCTCTCATCTGCTGTAAAGGTGCAGGGGTGGAACTGGGTGTGCTGGTAGTTATTAGGTCTAATGGTAAAACATGAGGTTGTTGACAAGAGTGTGGACTAGGGATGTTTTCATTCTCTCCATGACAGATGTGGGATTTGCTGTTGCTCCCTTCAGAGGGTTCTGCTGCAGCTCCTAAAGCCATGTGCAGTGCACACTGGACCTGTTCTCTGTTTGTGAGCTACCAGGTGTGTCCTCTTCTGTTGCTTGACTTGAATCTCCTCCTGCAGGGACTACTTCTGCTTCTGGCTTTGCTTTGAATCTGAAGCCATTGACTACAACTGGTGCCATTGGAGCTGTCACCTCCACAGCTGCCATAACCACAACCACCACAACCAGGTGGGTGTTTTGTGACCATTGACCATTTCCTGCCTGGGGCAGGAGCAGCTGCAGTGCTCATGCTGGGATCTGGAGGAGGAAGGGGAAATGAGTGAGTGTTGTGCTGTTTCTCTTTCCTCACCTTGTGTCCTGTGCTGCCCCTCACTCCCTCTCAGTGCCCCCCCAGTGATGACTTATGCCCAGCTGGAGAGTTTGATAAACAAGTGGAGCCTGGAACTGGAAGACCAAGAGAAGCACTTCCTCCATCAAGCTACACAAGTTAATGCCTGGGATCGGATGCTGATAGAGAATGGAGAGAAGGTGAGCTGACCTCCAGTGGAACCTCCTTCTGC